ATCGGAGACTCGAGACTGATATTCGTCAGAATTTGAAACATTATTGGATACATCAGATGCCGGAGCATCCTTATTTTTCAAGACCGCCTGTTTAGAGGTGTCATCACTTATATCAGATACCGGGGTATCACCACATTGTAGCACTATCTGTTTGAGAGTATCGTTAGATTTTACTGGAGAGTGCGGAACATCTTCCGTAGGCTCGAAGAGCCATTGCTCTGCAATAGAAATACTTTTTTCTTCTTTTCCCTGTTCTAATATAGCGAGCCTAGTCTCAAGCTCTATATTCTTTTGCTCTAATTCCTCGACTCTAACATCACGCTTTTCATTCTCCTCGATAATCTGCTTCAGCCTCGCATTCTCCTTTCTAAGCTCGGCAATCTCAGCTATAAGTTTGGAATTCTGTTCTTCTAATGTATCGACTTTGGATTGCGTGTTTGCCATTTTTTATACAAAATGCAGATATGTTCAAAAGTTTGAATAAATAGAAATAATGAGTGCGTGACCAAAAAGTTAAAAAAGTCACGCCGATCACCTTTGACAATCAAAAGCGTCACTATTCGACGAGCCGTCTCACGAAGTGAGGAGCCGATGTCATACTCAACTATGCGGTGGATGATCAATATACTGGTAATGGATCACACAATAACACGATTGAAATTTCCGGGTCAGAGATATGCGTAACGGGTGAAAAAACTCATTTCTTTATTAATGAAAAATAAATTACAAAGCCGGGTACAACACATAACTATTACATCATTTTTTGGCGCGGTATCCCTCAACCCTAGCTCTCTTGCTATCTGGAGACTTTTCCACACAAGCCCGATCCTTTAACAAACCGACAATTATACCCAATACCTTTTTTACACTTTTGCGTAAAGCTTGGTATTCCTCGGAGTTTTTTTCCAAAGCCTTCTTGTTGAATTCGATGCTATAGGGAATCTCACTTGCTTGAGAAATTTCTCCTGGGCTGTAAAGCAAGAAATGCCAATCCCTGGCAGACGTCACGATTCCGTAGAGATAGTCGAAATCATCATCTTCCCGCTTTCGTTTTTTCTTGTTCGTTTCATACGAGCTTTCGAGTTGTTTTATATTTTGGGCAAACCCTTCGAGTATACTACTCTGAACCTTATCTTCGGTAACACAGATTAGGTTTTCGGACTCCTGAGAAATAAATACATATTAATGTAAGTTCCAGAAAAAACGTACGATAGGTTTTCGTTTATGAAAAATAAATCAATCCACAAACCTTGATTCCATAATCAACTCGTCCGGAACTTTCATCACCAACGATTTCGTATTCTGGTCTCATGCTAAATTCTTTGCTAGTTAAGTCTCCTGCGATATGGAGAGCTGTGTGGAGTAATGTCGATACGTATTCGTTTCGCATGGATTCCAAACTATCCAAGACTAAGGACCCGTAATGTTTCATCCTGAACAAAATATCTGCCATGCAATGTGCAAAATGCTGGTCGTTGTCTTGGATCTCGTATCGCGGAAGTTCGAACAATGGAATGGCTTCCACACCATCAATATCAAAGCCATATTTTAATAACACTTCTCTCAGACTGCGGTACGACGAAAACGCCCTCAATTTTTTCTCTTTAACTTCCTTGGCAAATTCCACAAGAGTCGTAGCAGGTCCCACTTTAAACCCGCAATCCCTGAAATCTTGTTTGCTCAACTTGAGGAAATTATGGCCAGCGATCTTCTCATCACGGAGGATTTTGAAATCGTCTTCGTCAAGTTGCAAGTCTTCTTCCCCACGCAAAAATTCGATAAGATTTTCTGTGTCCAACTTTCTAACCACTTCGGCTAAAGTGGGAGCCTGCTTTTCTTCGGTCGCATTGTGAGAAGCGGAAGTGGTCGACATTTTCGAACTATATATGATTTTTTTGGTGGGATGTTATTGGTGGATTGTGATGGGAACACAAGGAAAAAAAGCAAAAAACGATAATTTTCCAAATCATGGGTATATGTGAAAAATGCATTCGGTTTCACAATGCGTGTATCACATTACTTTTCGGCAGAAATTTTTCCGGTCTCGCAGTCATGTGATTTTTATTTTTCTTTCATCGATTAGTAAGCGTAATTGATCATCGCTAATTTCAACGGATGTTCAATTGAGATATGATATTTCTATAAGTTTTTATAAGAAAAAAATTAATCGTACCTTCAACGTACCTTCATCGTGCCTTCACCTCGGATTTGCACATCTCGGATTTGTTTATCTCGGATTTGTCTATCTCGGACAGGATGGCGGGTATAGATCATCTATCGCAAAATTAAATCATATGCTCCGCAATAATACACCGTACATTTGGGATAATCTATTTCGGGGGGATCGTTAAAGCAAGGTAGATGACGTATCTCAAAATTTTTTAGATTTTTGATCCTAAACATATAACAAACTATATGTAAAATTTCACTCCGGTCATTTTTTCCTAGTCGTTTTGAGGCGATTGTCATAGTATAATATTGTGTTATTTGCTTTTTTCACTTTTTTTTCGCTTTTTTGAATGTTTATGTTACACATGATCTTGCAATTAGATTGGTCCGATTTTTAAATCCAGCAATTTGATTTGTTTTTGTTCACGTGTTTACCTTGCTTTAACGACCCCCCAAATGTAGATCCACACACCAGAAATAGATCCCATCACATGAATTTTTATACCTTTTATCTATGCATCAGCTTGTTCTCTTTTTATTCTTTTGACGCAATTCTATCTCTTTCTGCAAATTCAATGGTGTATCAAATCTTAACCGAATTGCTAGAGGATCATCCTCTGATCTAGTAAGATCAAATACAATAAATTCATTTTTTCGAAGGTAACTATTAATAACCATTGATGCATTCTTAACATCATCAGTATATCGTCCAATTATTTTGGAAATATCTTCATGCGAGCTACCAGAATTACAGATTACTAAATAGATGCAGTATCACAAAAATAAATTCCCTTGATAGGATTGCTGAAAAATTTTCCGGTAATGAAGTGGATAAGCATCTCTACATGTGCTGAATTCTCTAATGTTTGACGTAGAATAGCAGAATACTCACAGAAATCGTAAAAAAAAAAAAATCCAAATTAAGTAACAACTTCCTAAATACAAGGTGAAATTGAATATTGCGAAAATGAATGATAGTGGTAAGTGTGAATTGGAAATATTTTTTACCTTGGTTCAAATTTATGTTGTAGATTCGAAATTTCTTAATCTTGAGGAAGTTCTTTTGCGGAGAATATTATTTTATATAGTCTGTGCAGATGTGAGTGATGTTAATAGGTGAAACTTTTGTAGATATGTGATTATTTATTTCGAGAATCTAATTTAGAAAAAGCTCGTAATTAGCAATAGGAGATAGAAACAAATTAGCTATAGATCTTTTGAAAGAGCAAAGAATAATACGACGCAGGGACTCGCATTATATGGCCTAGGGTCCGCGTACTCCCTCCCTTGAAAGCGTGTCATATTCCTCTATATTTATTACATCATGTCTGGGTAATAATAAGCTTTTGTTAAATAAAATTAGTAATCGAGATAGCAAACGAAAAGTACTCCCTTAGCGTAGGGTTTTGTTAATATGTGAAAATATATAGTAAAAGATCAAAGCAGTATACTATCACTGAAAGAAGTGTAGTCAACGTTGAAGCGTACCATCATGGTCGACCTCAGTCATTTACGTACGGACATAAAGTCCCCGCTATCCATGATGAATAACCTCAGTTTTTTCCCGACCTTCAACTTAATACCTAAGCGTCCGCTTGTGCAGGGAGATATCCGCAGAATACAAGCGATTAACCTCAGTTTTTTCAGCTCGAGTAAATCAACTACACTTTGAAAAGAAAAATTCTCATCCTGTTCCGCTAGATCAACAACAATCATGTGATAAATGAATCTACGTTAATACGCATTGCAGGAACCAATCATCTATCGAATCAGTAGATAAGTAGATATATAGAATTATGACTCTTATAGTAAAAAAAATAACTAATTAAAAAACTAGTAATAACTAAACTATATAATCATCACGGCAAAAAATTATCACGCTTTTTCGCTGTTAACAAAATTAACAAAAGCAATAAATGCCAAGATCACAAGAAGTTCGGGAAGAGCAAGTCAAATTCTTGAAGACACACCCAGACCCTCGTCCGTTGAACTTCTTTGTGGAGTTCAAATACCGAAGAAGGTTATCTGGCTATAATGATTATAGTTTATGTTTGGACAACGCGTTAAAAGATGCTCCTGAATCGGAAAAGCTGTTGGATTTACGAAAAAAATTTTAAAGACTATAATGACGACTGGAAACAATATGAGGATTGGAAGAAGAATAAAAAAGTCAATGTATGTTTTTTTTTATTCGAGTGAATAAACTTAGGTGTATGCTGACAAAAGGTTACATCTAGGACATGATAAAAAAAAGAAAACGGGAGACACATGCTTCGTTTCATAAACTATTAGACGATGGTATCGATGGTGGAAAATCGGTTCATGATCAGAAGAGAGTAAGTTAGTTGTTTTCACGGTTTTTTATGAATAATAATACTAAGATTTTTCGCTGACTCAGAAACGAACCAACGAAAACCCGACTAGTAACACCAATTATAAGGAGAACGAGGACATCGGTATTGAGGATGTGGATAATAATGAAAATGAAGTGGGAAAATTTAATGAGGTATGTAACTGTGTAATACATTCTACGGTTGTGACATTATTGATTTTTTTTCCACCGTGCAGGAGATAGTAGATGTCTTAGAGAACACCGTTGAATACTCGGAATTAGCGGAAAAAATTTGTTCAATTTATGCGGAACAATGTTCTGATGGAGATTTGATCGACCTTCGCCCATGTTCATCTTTCTTCAAAATGCTTCCAAGATCGATAGCAAAGTCATACCTATCAGAAATGGACACTATAACGGAATCGTTAATTCCTGATGATGTGCACCAATTCCTAGTAAAATTCTTCTCTCAAAATATTTCTGATAACGATTGGCAAACTAAAGTTGATGATTTACGATCCTCAGAGCAAAACTATCTAATTACTGCACTAGTACGAATTTTACGTCGTACATTACCACAGTTGTATGTAGTCATTATCATCATATTAATTCATTTTTCCAAATTCTGTTCTAACCATTTTTCTTTTGAGTAGCGTGAAAGCGTTTTCACTTGGAGCCCAAAACCCTCTTCAAAGCATTGCAACAATCGAGCAAGCGCACCTTAATGCGTTTGTACATCCATGCCTAGATAGTGCTTTATGGAACGTAGCGAAAATACATTACGAGTATGGCGAAATTCCCTCGAAAAACCATATTAATAAGGACCGTGCAGATGGCGTTGGTTTTATGACCAACGCTGATAAATTCCAAATTGTATATGTGGAAGGCTCCAAGCCAGTTGCGAAGCAAGATAAAGAAATCGCTGACGCTGAAAAAATTGCCCGCAATCTGAAAAATATATTTTCAAAAATTGTAAAAGAAGTAATCAAAAATCGTAGGCGTCTACCAAAGAGGCTGTTCGTATTTGGCGCACAGAGTTTTCAACTACGTCTTCATTTATATTATCTTGATTACTGTGGTGCGTATGCTTTTTTTATTTATACTATGAAGAATTGATATTCACTGTCAATATCAATTTAGGAAATTTTCGACTAAATGAGGTTGATAACGCCAACTTACCACGGGATTTTTCGGAGATGCAAGATTTCGTATATTTTTACGAATGTATATTGAAATGGGCGGTTAGTGTTATTGCAGAGTTTTGTGTTGTATGCATCAAAAATTCGCTAACTTTGAATATTGATATAAATTTAGTTGTTAGTTCAGAATGTAATAAAATCCTTTGGCGATGCAAGATCCGAAAAGAGACCCTCCCGGCTCTCATATGCGAATTCCCTTCTTCAACTAGATGAGTGATCTTATTTCTGCGGATATTATAGATAAAGCATTCTCTTTTTATCTTTCCATCAAGATTATTTTAGTAGAATTGGTCTAGTCATTTATTTCTTTAATTATTGCGAAATATGAATTTTGCATTACAATTAAGTTGCTTATCTTGCATTAGTATGCCGAACACTTAACTCTTCTTATATATTACAATAAATGATTAAAAGTTGTATGGATAAAGCTGGGGTATGAATCCAATATCGAAACAACTCATAATTCTCATATTTCACTAAAAAATAATAAATGTCTAATTCGCAAAATTGCAAACGCATTTAAAGTTTCAAGTTTTTATTCAATGAGACCCAATTCTCGAAGATGCTCTGGAATAACTACATATGGGTCTTCGTAATACCAGACATATCTTAAAACGATCCAGTTTTCTTCACATAATTCTTTCTTGAGTTGATCCCGTTCTTGCTGTTTAATGAAATTATTAGGGTTTCCTCTGTGAAAGAATTCGACATATTTTTCGTGCTGTTGTCCTTGTACTTCGATTGCAAAACCATAATTATAATACGGAATATCAAGTTGTAATCCAGTTGAATGTTCTGGTGTTTTTAAAAAATCTGGTCTACGATTTTCAGATGGTGGTCCAAGATATTTTGATACAATTTCACGGCACAATTCTTCACGCTTATATTTGGAACAATATGGACACCAGGATCCACTATTTTTAATTTGGGAAAATGGAGCAAACCATTCGTGATTTTTAGAACAACGCCAACGTAATGGAATTTCACAATTGATATATTTTCCAGAAAGGCATTTGCCATTTTTATTATATGTATATTGCTTGACATATTCGAGAATGTAAGGTTTTCTATGAGAACATTCTGGACACCACGATCCGCTATTCTTGATTTTACCAAATGAAGCAAACCATTCATGACCTTTAATACAGCGCCATCGCAACTTAGTGCTATTATTAATATATTTATCGGAAAGGCAATTACCATTTCTGCTTCGAGCCACTTGCCTAGCATCTTCAATTGTACAACGTGCATTTCCTGCACAATGTGGGCACCATGATCCACTATTTATAATTTGAACAAGCGAAACTGTCCATTCATGGTTTTTGGCACATCTCCATTGCAATGGCATTACAGAATTAATAAAACTATTAGAAAGACACAGGCCATTTTGACTTTTGGCAATTCTATGTGCATCATTTATAGAATATTTAACTTGAAATGGCATACCCGCACAATGTGGACACCACGTTCCTAAATATTTAATATTTTTAAACGGAGTACTCCAAATATGGTTTTGATGACATTTCCATAACATTGGACTCTTACTATTAACATATTCTGTTGAAAGGCATTGACCACGTTTAGATACTGCGATTTGTATAGCATCTTCAAGAGTAAGCTTTACATGACCTGCGCAATGTGGGCACCACGATCCATCACATTTAACTTTTTTTAGTAAAGCAGTCCATGTATGATTTTTAGAACAACACCATATTAATGGACTTTTTGCATTTTTATATTCTGTAGAAATACATATTCCACCACGAGATTTAGCAATACTATAAGCATCTTCTAACGATAATTTTCTCATTGAGACTAGATTTCTTTAACTTTTATCTTGAATTTATTATATTTAATTTATTATCGTCCCGATGGTCTCTGTGTTTCAGAATTAGCATTGCATTATCAGTTATTATGGGCGGTTCGAGAGGAAATGCGAAAAGTTAACAATATATAATTTAGTCACATAACCCGCCTTCTCGTGACTCTATCACTCGAAGCCAGAAAAATAGATGCATAATGTGTTACATACAATAGATAGCGACACATATCTTTTTCCAAACATGAGAGGAAAAAGGAATAAACCACCTAAAATATTCCTGAGGGCTAGTACCTTAGACTTTATTTCGTTATCCTGAGGGTCGGTAACATTTTTTACCTTGGTTTTTTATATATCAAGTCATTTTACCCGACACAAAAATCCCTAGTGACGATAATAGATTGCGCCTGTTATTATTATTGCGAAGCAATGGCTCAAAGAGCCTACACATCCACTCTAACTTCAAACACGGCAGGATTCGGTCAGCTCAAAAATATAAGTGGCAGATAGGATGTATTAATATTAATAGAATAAAATTACAACTGAAAAAAATTCCATTATCAAACTAACCATATAAACGCGATTTTATCATAACCTATATGGATCACGGAACCCAATCCAGTATTAGCTCTAGTGCTGGTTTTTTGCTTAATAGATAGTATATTGATTTATCAGAAATAAACGGGCATTTCTTTGCATTGAGAACTAATAAATTTGAACAGTGATGTGCAATTTCATATATCGTTTTATCAGTGATATAAATATATTGAAAACTAAGTTTTTGAAGGTTTAGGCATGAGCGGACAAGATCACATACAGCATCATCCGTAATTTTATAACAGGAAATAAGACTAATATTTTGTAGGCTTTTATTTAAGTCTGCAATTTTTTTGATTGATTTGTCGGTAAGCTGTTCACAGCCTTCGAGAAAATAATTTCGCATATCTGGACAGCCAGTTGCAATCGCACATATAGCTTCATCTGTAATTATTTCATTGAACGACAAATCCAGGTGTTGAAGATTTACACATGAGCGTGCAATTGCACAAATTGATTCATCATTAATAGAAGGTTGTCCATTGAGGTTTAAATATACTAGATTGGGACAAGATCGTGCTATTTCAATCACAGATGCACTGGAAATGTTACTATCTCTATACAAAGAAGCGAGATTTATGTATTTTAAATTTGGACAAGATTGTGTTATTTCACTAATGCATCTATCAGTAATAGCTGTACACGCATCAAGACTCAGATGTAGTAGCTTCGGACAATATTTTGCAATTTCTGGCCCTTTAGGGGCGCCTCCTTGAGGCATAATTGGTATATTACTAAAACCATAACTTCGATCAAGAATAAGAAAGTTTATATTCGGGCATGAGCACAAAATTTCACTAAGTAATGCATCTGAGATTTTTAAACCCGCCAATTTGAGATACACCATCTTTGAGCAATAGAGAGGTTTTGTCTTTTGGCATATAACTCTTTTAAACTTTCTTAATTGCCAATAAAGAGGTCCAGATATATTTTTATTACATCGGTTCTGCCGATAACCTTCTATGGAAAACTCAATATGTCTCCATAGAATTGGAGCACTGCAGTGATACCAAAGACGATTGACAAATAAAGCAGGATAGAGCGCTTTATCCTTGGCTAAGACACTGAATATGTTTTCGAGCAACTCCGGAATAATGAGAGGGTGGGCCATGTTTATTTTTATATAAGTATTAGAAAACTTGAAGTGGTTTTATATCTGAAATCCCGCTCTATTCATTAGAAAGATTTAAAGCGGTATCCCAACCAAGCCGTACGCTTAAAGGATCGTCTACTGCCTTAGTAAAATCAAAAACCACGAATTCTCGTTCACGCAGATATTTATCAATTATCTTGGATGCCTTTTTTGGATCATCCGTATATTGACGTACGATTCTATGAATGTCGTCTCGGCTCCCGGCACCTCGAAATAGTGCAAGATGGCTCAGATTTTCGCGGATGATTTTAGGTGTTTGTGTATATTTCTGTGATACGTATATTGGCGAGATATTTTGATGTCGACCACTAATGAAATAAGGAATAATTCGTTCTTGTACTTTTTTCGATTCGGCACATAGATCCTCGAATACAACAACTGTACTTCGCTCTGGAGAGAATTTAGTTATATCTGGGATTTTATCTGGAGATATCCTTTTAAATGTGACATCTTCTCGATATGGTTTTGGAGCATTCGCAAAGATCTGGAACGCATTTTTTACTAATTCCCATTTCGGTTCAGAATGCTTTCCTATCAATACCAGATCGTCATTCTTGATATACCGATCGCCTTTTTTCCCGTTGAACATGCATTGGAGTTTTTTACCTAGCATAAGATTAATAACCATATTTGTCTTTCCGCTATTAGAACCCCCACATACCAGTAATCTAAATGGGCCCTCTGGCGAATACTTATTACCTTTCATTCGTTCTGAGGATTTTTTAGATGTTTCGTCGATATTATATACAAATATGGGCATGCCTTTATCTTTCATTCTAACCAAGATAAGCAATATTTATTCTTTATACGATAAATAACCTTTCTCTTGTAATTTGCTTTTTATATATGGTAATAAATCAGTATCATACGGTTTTAAAATAAGATCTATGCCTTGTTTCTTACATATTTCCAGCTTTTTTTGGTCGCGTTGCCTTTGCTGATCCAAATCAATTTGTCCGCATTTATGGAACATTGAATTCCGAGAATAATGCTGGACCCCATTATATTCCCACGCCAATTTTAGCTCTTCGTTATACCCGTCCAATTGCATTCCATTCAAAAATGACGGTTTACAAGATGGGAATTTCTTACCTAACAAATCCTCAAAAATATATCGACATCTGCGTTCATTAGTAGAAGAATGTGGACAAATTGGGCACCACTCGAATTTACGCTTCTGGGTCTTATAAGGTGCTTCCCACTGATGCTTTCCGTTTTCACAGGACCAGAGATATACGTTTAAGCCATTTATACGACCAGTTTTACCAAGACATTGTCCGCCACGTTTTTCGGCAAATTGTTGAGCCTTGGCCATTTTATTAATAACACGGATGAAATTAACAGACCTGGAACGAGTATTTTCTTCCAATATACTGTGGGGCGGATACTGAAGTGTGTCAATATTCACATATAAGAGTTCCTCTCTCACAAACCCACGCGTAGGTGCGAATTCGCCATCTAAATAATATAAGATAGGTTCGTTTTTCGTTACAACAATTTTTTGAATTTTATGAAGGCTTGGTGAAAACGTCGGGTCCGTTGCGCGTTTCTGATTCTCCATACCTCCTTCCCACTCTGCATTAGCAAGCAGATAGCGAACTGTATCACCTTTCTTCAACCTATTCTCCTCATATTTCCCAACCGGACGCTTATACTTTGTAGATGGCCTAGATTCTACTCGTTCCAGTTTGATAGCTTTTGCTGGAGCTAAACCCCATTTTGATGAGCCTGGAGCTCGAATGAGACGAGTCGGATAATTATTAAGATAATCTATTACTTCTGGCAAATACTTTACCCATGCCCTTATTAATTTAGGGTCTGAGGATATACTTTCAACGCTATATTGGATCTTGTAAAGCATCTCTGCTAAAGTTTTATTGAAGCGTTCCACGATTGCCGTCCCACGATGAGAATATGGACCAATAACTCGAATTGTAACATCATGTGCTTCCATTAATCGAGCAGTTTCGGACATCCACTCCCGACCATTATCTGTTTGTAGTAATCGAGGATAAGTAAGAGAATTTTTGGGATCATCATAAATTTTCTTAAAGGCCTTAGCAACTTCGGAACTTTTCTTCGATGTGAGAGGAACACTCGCCTTGAACCTGCTAGACACGTCTATTATATTAAGCACCGCTATCCATTTTTTACCTTTATAATGATCATGCGTAAGGAATAGAATGTCGCACATATGTTCACAATTTGGTTTTTGAATTTTTCCAAAACTAACCCGTGGAGTATCTTTTGGCGATGGAGCGTATTTTTGCCATTCATTCTGGTTTATAAGCCAGTTATGCACTTTTTTAAATGGAAATCGGTACCCTTCCTTCTTGAGGTCTTTATATAATTTTCTAGAATTGGCATGGTAGCCAGTAGGCTGGTAAAAAAGCAATTTACATATTAAGTTTAATTCCTCATTTGGATCGATTCTAATAATAGGCGTGCTCAATTTATGCGAAGCATGGTCTAAAGACCTACTCATTTTTTATATTACTTATTATAGCAAAGTCAAGAGATAAGATAATATAATATGCCGTAAAAAATAGAGCAGAGTCTCATTACTTTGTAATAACCATGGCATTTCAAAGACCCCGACCCCCCAAGAGACAAAGTCTCCTTTCTTCGAAAGATCGAACAATCCATAGAATAGCCACCGATAGAGAACTCGAGCTAGAACAAATTAACCAGATTTTGAGAGATGAATTATCTGTTGAAATTTCTCATAATAAAGCTAACGAAAAATGGATATCTCGGTTGGAACGTGATCTTATTAATTGCGAGAAAGAGATCAATCGAAAAGATGTTGCTATTGTGGCATCTAACGAAGAAATTAAGGAGCTTCAGACTGAGATCTCGTCTTTAAGAAGAGAGTTGTATCAAGCCCGAAAAGAAATCCGAGACAATAACAATTATACCGCTGAAATAGAAAACAAGTTACAAGAATGTTATGAGACTATATCTAGTTTGAAGCATAGAATTAGGGTAATTACATCTCGTGAGAATTCGCCAATTCGCGGACAATCTCCAGACCAAGATATAACATCAGATAATATGGCTCGCACTAGACAAGCTAGAACTATTGAAGATTATTTGGCTGATGTTCAAGATGGTATACAACGAATTTTAGCACAATTCACACCAACAAACCGCCTCCGCATACCTACTGAAAGATTGGTCAATGGGATTGATGGATCATTAAATAATATTAGACGCCTCACTGGAGACTTGCGTCAAAACCATGCTCAACTCAATACACGCCATAATACATTACGACAAAATTTTGATAATATCAGAAATGAGCGAGATGCTTTACGAGCTCAAACAAATCTCGATCAACAGAATCTCAATATATTTGGCCAACAAAATATTATATTGCGAAGGCAGTTAGAGGAGATAGAAAAATCTCGCAATTTTTGGAAATTGAATGCTATCTATATCAAAGCTCAAAAAGATAGGCACATTAGCGAGTTGTTACATAAACAATTTGCATTACAACTTTTGAATAAGCGATCAAACCAGCAATTGCAAAGGCAGTTACAACAATGCCAGGCTGATAATGGATTATTAGAATATAATCGAGATCGGCTCTTTGATAGATATTACAATAAATTCAAAGATCGGAAGGCAAGTCATATCATGTGGAAAAATAGGGAGCGTAATTCACAGCAATTAATTTTAAATTTAAATCAGCAAATTTTTGCGCTTCAGAATAATATACAAACAAACATGGCATTACAACCACTACCATTACCAAATTTTTCCGGAGAATATGATGAGGATATTGATATTTTTATTAGTCGATTATCGTCATATCTAGCTGGCACTGGTATAAATCCAGTTGGAGCTCGAGATCAAGCATTTGGTATTCTTCGGGGATGTTTATCTGGGCGAGCATTAGAATGGTTTGATCGAAAAATTCTTGGTAAGCGTTGGGAACTTCATAATATTTTTGCAAATCATGGTCAGGCTGGTATGGGTAATCTCCGGGCTCGCACTATGGCACAAATGAATACTAGCAATAGTTTTAGAAACCCTTCAATCGCTCACGACTATGCGAATATTGCTGGTAATAATGCAGTAACAGTAGGAGTTTCAATGATTCCAGCTGAAGCTTTTACTGAAGATTGGCGCTTAGCTGGGGGGCAACCATCAGATAGACCTGTTAATGCAATAAATGCTGGTAATAACAATCCAATAGTATTTGGAGATATTCGAATTGGTCAAGCATTATATTGGCTTAGAACTCAATATCCCACAGTAATTAGTGAGAAACGCAATTTAGTTTATGGATCATTAGTTCAGGGGAGTGAACCTATAGGAGAATTTTACTCAAAACTCTTAAAATATGGGAAAATGCTTAATCTTGACGAGCAACAAATTAAGGGTCAATTTCTACGAGGTCTATCTCCAGACTTGGAGGACGATGCAGAGCGCATAGGTACTGAACAGCCATTAGCTGATCTTTTTGAAATTTTGGAACGGATTGAAATGCGGAGAGCAGAGAAAAAATTAGGATTGGTTACTAAAATACCCCAGTCTGGTTATAAATCGTCAACTAAATCTCATGGTAAAGATAATTACTCAAGCAACACAGGCATGACCAAAGATGAAATAGAAAACTTCGTAAAATCTATCATGGCATCCACACAATCTCAACCTGTCTCACAAACTATCTCTTCTAAACCTCAGGAGAACCAGATCACGCTTTCACAAGATGAATTCAAAAAAATTATAGTGAGTTTAAAGGGATCTATTGCTAAAGGACAGCAGACCTTGAAGAAACCCCCTGGACCAGGAAAACGAAAAGCTGATGATCTTGCTATAGACCGTTTTTTAGAAAGTTTACCGGATAAGACAGGTTTACCAGGAGAAGATTATGACTATGATCCGGTTGAAGATTTGAGATTACAGTTTGAGCAGTTGGATATCAATCAAGCAAAATTAGCTCGAGTAATACATGCAGTTTTAAAATCTTCTCGATACAAATGTTCAGAGTGTGGTAAATCAGGTCATAATTCCCGCAATTGCCCTAAAAATAAAAAGAAGAGCAAGTCTAGACGTTCTAACAAAAGCAGATCCAAGAAAAAAGGTAAGATTAATATGGCTACTAAAGATTCAGATTCTGAGTCTGACGCTAGCTCTTCTGATAATGAATATAATTCCAACTCTGACTCTGGGTCAAGTTCTGGTTCTGAATCGGAATCTGATTCTGTGAATGACTTAACTGAGACTGAAATCGCGAAAATTATCAATGCTGTTAAATCAAAAAAAAAGTAAAGCCAAAGAGTAAATCATCCTCTAAGAAAATGTCTAAATCTCGTAAGACTAAACAAAAAGGCATTTCCACTTCTAGCAAGTCCCGAAATAAATCGACTACCCTTGAGCAAAATATTCGTCAAATTTTATTAGACATGCTCGAAAAGGTTTTACTCCCACATCAGTTAGAGAAACTTAAATCTGAAGATAAATACTTAACTACTCCAGATTTTGTAAATTATCGAGAACCAATATCAGAGATACTAGAATCAGATGGTGAAGAGGAGATGCTGGACGATCCTATGGAGATAGACTTTGTTCGAAGAAAGGAACCTACCACAAGCCTTGCAACTATACCGGTTAAAATCAAACGCTTAAAAATTCCGGCATTGGTATTAGATAGTGGAGCTGAACCTCCCATTACGTCAGAAGACATTGTAAAACGTGTAAATTGGCCAATTGATAAATCCGAAAAATATGATCTTAGCGGTGTTGCAACAGTCCCAACAGAATCTATTGGCATTGCTCGTAATTTCCCAATAACATTCCCTCCAGGTTTTACTATACGTGAAGATTTTGTAGTTGTACGTGTTCCTAAACCAACATTGATATTCCCAAACCCACTTCTCAAGAAATATAAATGCGCTATAGATTGGGGTAAAGATGAGTTGAAAATTCCTTTCAATGGAAAGGATTACATTATTCCGGTTACTATGCACAAAGTCAAGAATAAACTTGAAGTAAATTGCGCTACTGCATCTCAGGATGATAAGCCTTTGGTATCCGATCAAATTTCTCAAGAGACAGATAGTGATAAGGATGACAGTATATTATTCGAAAAGTGGCACGCTCCTGCAGATTTTAGCCCAGATTCTAACGATTTGTTATTAAAAAAAAACGCATGAGCTATGAGGAGTTAGAAAAATCACTATATGAGGTACTTGCATCCAAGGTTAAATTAATTGAGCTCAATAAAAAGTTGCAACTTCATATAAATAATCCTGAGAAAGTTGCCAATAGTGATATACTATGCGGGATACAAAATACTCTAGAAAAAGCAAAGATTGATTAGTTGGAATTTGCTGAAAGCAGTCATTTCGTGGCTAAAATTCTTTCTGATTCGCGTTCATATTCTTCTGTTTCTTTACGATCACGTTCGATTAAAGCATATAGGTCATCTTTCTCTCCCACTTTTTTTGTTATAATTTCAGCGGTATTAACTTTACTATCCACTGTGTGACCTCCCCCGGCGATAATATTAGATGGGTCAGAAATTCGATTAGTCTTAGATCTCAGTTTTTTTCTCTTTGTCTGTATACCCGAAGTAATGATAGGAGTTTCTACAGAATGTGTAATATGATTTATGGATCGAGTTTTCATGCTCATATCAGTTTTATTAACCGTATTGTCTCCGCCAATATTTGATTGCGACATCACTTCCCTAGGATCTATTGGAGGATGGGTTTCTCTCCATATTTGATATACGCGCCTTGTTGATATTTTATATTTGATAGCCATAGCTTCTGACGCACGTTTCATCGAATTTCTGGCATTAATGATATCTTGTATATTATCATCTGATAAAGGAGTTGCATCAGATCGCAGATATCGAATTATTTTTTCAGAGTTTTGAGTCATGATTTATTTATAAAAATAAAAAAATATTTAGATATAAATTCGAAAGTTTTTCAATCTAGTTTCGATACATATCTAGACTGTTCGGTAAATATCCAATTTTGTTTCGATATATCTAGATCATTCGGTTAACATCTAATCCTATTTCGGTAAATATTCGATTTAGATATATCAGTTAATATTTAATCTTTATTCGGTTAATATCTAATTCTATTTCGGTAAATATTCAATTAATAGATATTGATTAATATCTAACCTTTGTTCGATTTATTAGTATTTGATTAATATCTTCGGTCAACATTCGATTAGTATGACCACAAGCAGTGCAATAAAAACTTACCATTTTTTTTTATTATATTATTTATTATTTGATATGACATATGTGAAAGACCTTGAGGAAGAAATACATCATATCCTCCAATCTTCTTCTAAATTGCGTAACTATAACAGTGAGTTGCGGGATAAATACATAAAGCAAAAGGAGAATTTTGATCAAGAAAGAAAGAGATGGGATCGGAATAAAAAGAAGTGGAGTAAAAAACTAGGAGGAATTGTTACCAAGAATCAAAACCTGCAGTTTGATAATGCTAGCAAAGCTATTTCTCTTGCTAATTTTAAATCTGAGATTGATATAAAATCCAAGGAAATTACAACACTTCGGTCTATGAAAAAAATATTAGAAGGTCGATTAACATCAGCTCAGAATGACATAGTTTCAACCCAGAAAGAGATATTTAAAAAAGAATCTGAGATCACGTCTCTCAAGTCTGAATTGACGAATCTAAAGAATGAATTGGTTTTGAAAATTAGTGAGCTTAATTGTCAGAAATCGGAGGCTTTATCAAAACCCGTAGACCCTTTAAGCCATGATTCGGAGAATCGCCTAACGGCCTGCTCCGCAGTAGTTGGTGGAGATGACGAAAAAAATATACCGAATTTTAATAATATTTCTGTAGTTAGTGAACCTAGCAAAAGTCTTAAACAATATTTTATACGTGGAAAAAATATGGATCCAATAGAAAAAATCGATAGTAATATCTCAACCTATACCAATAATGTGATTACCGAACTACTAAAAAATGATATCGCGATTAGTCCTAAGATAAATGAGGAAAATAACATTAGTGAAATTAGCGAGGATATTACACCCCAACCTCAAGAAATCCCGAATATAACTCCTTACCTTGCACAGCCGGAAAATAATAGCAGATCTAGTGCCAAAGCACATATGTCCTCATTGATTGAATCGAATTCTCAAATTCCGATAGGAGGAATAGGAGCGATCCCTGCTGTAGCAAGTACTTTGATGTCACCGCTATCAGCATATATATTCCTTGTCCTGTTAATTATTGCGGTTATGTGGTTTGTGAGACACACATGGGGATTTGAGAGGAAAGGTGATCGATTGCGGAATATGTGGATCGTCGGATAATGAAGAAAAAATAGAAGTTAAATAAATTTATTAATTCTTAAAAATTATATGAAACAGTTATTATACAAAATGAGTTCTCAAGATAATATCAATCCAAATTGGCAAAAAATTGAAAATGACGTAAAAACAAAGCTTATAAAATTTCTTCAAAGTGATGAAGAATCGGTTTCTTTAGATATAAATAGTGCTATAGAATATGCCTTTTATTTATATTATTTGAAAAAAATAATTAATGAAAATTAGTTAAATATACCTTGGAGTATCACTTTTTTTTCGAACTTGAGAGAAAAAAAAGAAAAAAGAGCGCGAGAGTATGGACGAGGTCACTTTCCTGGAATATAAGCGAAATTTTGAGGCTAAAATGAAAGTTC